TTATTATTTGTTCTCTCTCTCTCTCTCTCTCTCTCTCTCTCTCTCTCTCTCTCTCTCTCCATCTTATGTAAGAGCAATCAACTCCCATCAGTGGAACGAAACTCTCGCAGCATGTCACGAACAAAACTCTGTTGCAGCACTTTTCGGCGATAATCCTCAAAAGTTTGAAATCGTATTTGTCGTTGCCGATGGTAGTCAAGATGGATGGCAACATCGACAGACCTCCACGTGTTCATATCCGTATGCAACTCCTCAGCCGCTTGCGCGATATCTTGCAACTTGTGAGAGCTATCAAGATAGGAGAGATGTACATGCACTTTTTTGGGACCAACGGATGGAAGAGACTCATAGACGGCAATATCAAAAGTAGAAGCAGTGACTTCTGGCAAACCTCCTATACGGACATGCAGTTGTGCAGCTGGTGAGACAGGAGCGGAGATAACGCAAGGAGCAAGAGATGGAGTAAACATAGCGGCAGGCGAAGCAGAAACAACTGTAGAAGCAGTGACGATGGGCGTTCCCACATAGGACGGCGAAGCATAATCTGCAAGACGTTGACAATTCGCAAGAGACGGTGCCGGTAATGACAGTGGACGGACAGTGGCCGAAGGAGGAGCGGAAGAAGCAACACCGACATGAATTCTTTTGATGAGACTTTGTATGCAAGCATATCTGAACAAGGGCTCTGGAATAGTTTCATCCATCGGACAATAGGGCAAATCAAATGTCATTCTTACAATCTCCTCATTGGAGAGCGCAATGTACTCATCGTGCAGAAGGGATTGGAACATCCAACTGGACTCCACATCCAAAATATTCAACGGATTGGAGGGCAGAGAGGATCCTCGTTCCAAGCGCATATTAGTGAGTTTAGTTCTCTGCCAATCAAGGAAATTTTCCCATATCAGTTCATCCTTCACGACCGTCGTAGTCTTCACAAACATTTTGAAAAATATCTCATTCAAGACCTTTCGCAAACCAAACTTCTTTGTATCATCAAACCACTGAGAGAGGTAAGCGCGCGGATGAAGAACACGTGCAACTGACGGTGGGGGATTGCTATCATCGGGCACCTCAACAACTGTCGCACAATTTCGTGTTTGGGACAGGGCACGAGCAATTCCTTCACCTTCACCACGTTGGAACTTCAAACACGGATCACGATCATCGACGAAAAGCACATCAATAGGGATCTTGCGAAGTGCTCTCAGAACCTGAGTCACAGTTTCAGGACTAACAACTTTGTTAGTCACCCGATGATCACGAAGGGTGGGCTCAAGGGCGTCCGACGAAGCCAAAATATTTTTTTTCACACGTCGACTAGTCCTTCTTTTGAATGTAGATTCAACACGGTCACCGGAACCATCAGTGGAGGTCTCTTCTTTATCATCACTTAAAACACATTTATCAGCGTCACCCGACCAATCCCCTTGACAACTTTCCCCTTTCGCACGAGAGTCATGACGCCCCTCTTCCACAAACATATTTTTCGCATCCTCGAGCGTGTTCCCTTGAGGAGACACATGCTCATCTTCAAGTCCAGGACCAGCACCCCCGGCACGTGGTCCAGTTTGAAGGATGACAGACATTTCATCGTTTCGGCTTATTTTCAAGGGTTCCGAACACTGCACCCGACTATTGGATGTAACATTGCCATTAGCATCAGTAGTAGTGCCGGTGCCTGTCACTTTCAGCCTTTTGCTATTAGCACGAGTGTCATACTTGTGGCGCAACTGAGAACCGCCTGCATTAAAAAAAAAAAAAAAAAAAAAAAAA